TCTTCCCATGTGAAGATAGCTCGTGCTAGCCCTACAGAAAACCGGATCCGGGACGACACCCTGGACCTGCACCGTCTTTGCTAAGTAGCCCCAAACCCTTTTGTTTAGCAATGGAACTGCTTGCGTGGAAACCCCGCTCCCCTCAGAAATAATTAACCTGCTTGATTCAGCTTCTGTAAGTGCTCGCACAGAAACCCCTGGTAACTGACCCCCATATAAAGACTGCTCAAACGTCGGTCGGGGCTGCAGTTCTGACTCTCGGCCCCCGAGCTTCAGGCTGTAGTCGCTGGCCAGCTAATGAAGACTCCCTTTCACCTGACTCTGGCTTTGGCGGTCTTTCATTTGGTTGCACTCCACAACAGTGGGCACCAGAAACAGTTTAGGGTGGGGATGGTCACAGCGAGGAGGCGCCATGTAAAACGTAGCATCCGGTACAGAGAAAGGACATTGGGTAAAAACTAAGGCAACCTGGATGAAATACACACCCCAGCCGATCTGTTACAATTGAGTGTGCGTGTTGAGACCAGCAGATGGCGTAATGGTTACGGTGCCGGACTTCCCTGTAGTCGACCGCAGTTGAGTTGTAGACCCGGAGGCTTGAAACCCATGCCAGGTACGTGTGTGTGCGTGCCCAAGTTCCCGAGAGGAGACTGGAGGAGAAGGGACTATGGTGTGGCCATCTCCCCAGACTGACTTTTCTTTCTGTCTTTCTGTCTCTGCCTCTCCGACAAGCACATGCACTTCATAACAAAAATCTCTCTAAAAAAACCCCAACCAGCCAAATAAAAACCGTGTGTGTATTCAGAGCCAAGGAAAGAACTCTTGGAAACTAAGTCCTGTTGGCGGAAATGACAGGCCTTAGCAGCTGGGTAGGGAGAGGGGATAAGAACGCTCGCTCTGAGAGCAGAAAGACACAAGGTAGATGACAGGGAAAGCGCGAGAGAGATGACAGAGGACAGGCCGAGAGAGATGACAGAGAGAGGACAGGCCGAGAGAGATGACAGAGAAGACGTGAGGCCGGCAGCAGCTTCAGCCTCCGCGTGAAAGATGTTCCCAGGAGGCGGAAGGCCAGAGAGCGAGATGCACCCCAGAGCAAGTCAGGGGCATGTCCCTGGACGGGGCCCGGGTTACCCAGACTACTGGCAACACCAGCCGAAAGACTCCTGACTCTCTGTGACGCTCCGATACAGGGAGTGAGAAGCAGTGTGGCCATTGGTCACCTGTGGGTCAGCTCGGTGGAGCAGGGACGCCGTTCTTCAGTACAAAGGCGCTGCTCGAGGGCGCGCCCTTGCATGGGAGCTCGCAGTTCTGTTCCGGGGGCTCTGTGCCCCGGGGAGTGTGTGGCTGGGTCCTGGCTGACTGGGGAGGCTGTGGAGAGGATCATGGTGTGTGTGTGGGGGGGTGTCCCTTACAAGATACAGACAGATAATTGCACGCACGTGTAAATGCACATTTTTTAAAAAAGGTCACTTACAGGGGCCAGCATGACCAACTGCGGTTCGAGTCACAGACCTGGGGCTTGAACATTGCATTTGGCGTGTGTGTGTGTGCACCCAAAATCCCAGGAGGAGAATGGAGGGGAAGGGGCTGCAGCATGACCATCCCCCTGCGGGGAGTTTTCTCACTTTCTGTCTCACTTCTGCCTCCGGCAAGCACATGCACCCTATGGTCAAAAGCTAAACAAACAGGGACCAGCGGTTAGTGTAATGGCTATGTCGCTGGACTCCCATATAGTTGCCCGTGGTTTGCGTCCCGGACCCGGTGCCTTAAACTCACGCCAGGCGCATGTGAGTACGTGCCCAGGATCCCGAGAGAATGGAGGAGAAGGGATTGTGGTGTGCCATCCCCCAGGGAGTGATTTCTCGCTTTCTGTCTCTCTGTCTCTATGTCTCTCTCTGTCTGGAGAGCACACACGCCCTATAGCGAAAACCTCTCAAAAAAAAAAAAAGCTCAACAAAATGAAGTCATTTGCAAAGACATCAGAGCGACTTTCACTTTTAAATGGTCAGAGTGTGTGCTTACCAGAGAGGGACAGAGAGCACCCAGGGGCACGGCCTGCTGCAGCCCTTCCCTCCGTTTCTCCATCCTATCAGGATCCAGGCCACACGTGCACACACGTGTCCAAGCTGCTGGGGCTGAGGTGCCACGCCTGGGGCCTGCAGTTCTGACTCTCGGCCCCCGAGCTTCAGGCTGTAGTCGCTGGCCAGCTAATGAAGACTCCCTTTCACCTGACTCTGGCTTTGGCGGTCTTTCATTTGGTTGCACTCCACAACAGTGGGCACCAGAAACAGTTTAGGGTGGGGATGGTCACAGCGAGGAGGCGCCATGTAAAACGTAGCATCCGGTACAGAGAAAGGACATTGGGTAAAAACTAAGGCAACCTGGATGAAATACACACCCCAGCCGATCTGTTACAATTGAGTGTGCGTGTTGAGACCAGCAGATGGCGTAATGGTTACGGTGCCGGACTTCCCTGTAGTCGACCGCAGTTGAGTTGTAGACCCGGAGGCTTGAAACCCATGCCAGGTACGTGTGTGTGCGTGCCCAAGTTCCCGAGAGGAGACTGGAGGAGAAGGGACTATGGTGTGGCCATCTCCCCAGACTGACTTTTCTTTCTGTCTTTCTGTCTCTGCCTCTCCGACAAGCACATGCACTTCATAACAAAAATCTCTCTAAAAAAACCCCAACCAGCCAAATAAAAACCGTGTGTGTATTCAGAGCCAAGGAAAGAACTCTTGGAAACTAAGTCCTGTTGGCGGAAATGACAGGCCTTAGCAGCTGGGTAGGGAGAGGGGATAAGAACGCTCGCTCTGAGAGCAGAAAGACACAAGGTAGATGACAGGGAAAGCGCGAGAGAGATGACAGAGGACAGGCCGAGAGAGATGACAGAGAGAGGACAGGCCGAGAGAGATGACAGAGAAGACGTGAGGCCGGCAGCAGCTTCAGCCTCCGCGTGAAAGATGTTCCCAGGAGGCGGAAGGCCAGAGAGCGAGATGCACCCCAGAGCAAGTCAGGGGCATGTCCCTGGACGGGGCCCGGGTTACCCAGACTACTGGCAACACCAGCCGAAAGACTCCTGACTCTCTGTGACGCTCCGATACAGGGAGTGAGAAGCAGTGTGGCCATTGGTCACCTGTGGGTCAGCTCGGTGGAGCAGGGACGCCGTTCTTCAGTACAAAGGCGCTGCTCGAGGGCGCGCCCTTGCATGGGAGCTCGCAGTTCTGTTCCGGGGGCTCTGTGCCCCGGGGAGTGTGTGGCTGGGTCCTGGCTGACTGGGGAGGCTGTGGAGAGGATCATGGTGTGTGTGTGGGGGGGTGTCCCTTACAAGATACAGACAGATAATTGCACGCACGTGTAAATGCACATTTTTTAAAAAAGGTCACTTACAGGGGCCAGCATGACCAACTGCGGTTCGAGTCACAGACCTGGGGCTTGAACATTGCATTTGGCGTGTGTGTGTGTGCACCCAAAATCCCAGGAGGAGAATGGAGGGGAAGGGGCTGCAGCATGACCATCCCCCTGCGGGGAGTTTTCTCACTTTCTGTCTCACTTCTGCCTCCGGCAAGCACATGCACCCTATGGTCAAAAGCTAAACAAACAGGGACCAGCGGTTAGTGTAATGGCTATGTCGCTGGACTCCCATATAGTTGCCCGTGGTTTGCGTCCCGGACCCGGTGCCTTAAACTCACGCCAGGCGCATGTGAGTACGTGCCCAGGATCCCGAGAGAATGGAGGAGAAGGGATTGTGGTGTGCCATCCCCCAGGGAGTGATTTCTCGCTTTCTGTCTCTCTGTCTCTATGTCTCTCTCTGTCTGGAGAGCACACACGCCCTATAGCGAAAACCTCTCAAAAAAAAAAAAAGCTCAACAAAATGAAGTCATTTGCAAAGACATCAGAGCGACTTTCACTTTTAAATGGTCAGAGTGTGTGCTTACCAGAGAGGGACAGAGAGCACCCAGGGGCACGGCCTGCTGCAGCCCTTCCCTCCGTTTCTCCATCCTATCAGGATCCAGGCCACACGTGCACACACGTGTCCAAGCTGCTGGGGCTGAGATGCAAGCCATGGTAGGCTGCAGGAGGTCCGGCCCTTCAATCTCCAGGCTGCAGAGCTGCCACAGAGTGACTTTAGGGTCCTGAGCAGTCGCCTTGGGAAGACGTGGTGGGGTGCTCCTTCGCCGTCTGCAGGCCGACTGCCGTGGTGCAGCGTGGCTCCCGGGCCCCACATGCTGGGCGCCTCATAGCCACAGGCGCAGGTCCCGGCTGGCCTGAGAAGCAGCATGTGGGTGCCCAGGGGCCTGAGGGGCTGGAGGAGAGCCGGGTTGCAGTGAGGACACCCCGTTGAGGACTCTCTCTCTCAAGCATGCGCATATGGGGAGACATTTTCTACCATTTAGAGAAAACTCTAAAGGAAAAATATTTTTCTGACCTAAACTTGTATATTTAGCTAAATAACTAAGCGTGGTAAGGTCATTTCAGATATACAAGTTTTCAAGCCCCTCCGGTCAGTCTGGATGTTCACGTAGCCCCCAGATTCCGTGTTGAGATCTTGACTCCTGCAGTGACAGAGCTGAGGGCAGGCCTCTGGAGTGCTCAGGTCAGAGCCTGGGGCCTCCCGGGTGGGGTTAGTGCTCTCATGAGAGAGGCCCGGGGGCTCCCTCGCCTCTCCTGCCTTGTGAGGACAGCACAAGGTTGCCACGTGGGGACCGGGAAGCAGGCCCTCACCAGACATCACACCTGCCCGCCCTGGTCTTCGACTCCTGTAAGTTACTCGGGTTATGGCGTTTTCTTAGAGCGGCCGAGGGGCCCTCCAGGCTCAGTGGGCCCTCAGCCAGCGGTCCCAAATCTCGGACATGTTCTCCTGTCTCGCTCCTGTACTGGAAGGACGTGGGTCACGAGGCATGGATGAGGCCAGCGTCATGGACACACGGGGCTGCTCCCACCTGATGCTGCAGAGCTCGCCAGGTCAAAGGACAAGGGATGAGGTCGACAGCCCAGACGCGGACAAGCAGTCGTACCGTCTTTATTGTCTTAAATTCGCATAGTACGTGTGCACGCTTTAAACAGAGCAAGGGCCCTGGAAACCACCTTCTTGTGGACAGTTCCAGCTGTCCTGCTGTAGACAGGGAGCAGGACCAAAATGCTGCCTGGGCTTAAAGAGAGCCGGGAGCAGGCGAAACAGAAGTCGGGGGACTGGAGGGATGTGGGCGTGGACAGGAGGAGATGCTGCCAGAAGTTGAGAAGTCATGGCACTTGGAGGCGGCAGAGGGTGGCTGCGGGCTCCACCACCATCAGGGGTGAGGCTCTGGAGCAGCCCAGAGAGGAAGGGAAAGGAGAGGGCCAGGGGGCTGAGGCGCATGCCCCGTCTGAGACGAAACAGGCGCAGCCCAGGGCCACACAGCTGGGAGCGGGGTACATCCGGGCATTCCCAGGCATTCCCGTGGCCACAGAAAGCCACATATTAGAAAAATAACTTAGAAGCTATACAGTCGTCATTATAAATACTTTGTTACAGCTAACTAGTGCTGCTTTAAAGGCTCACAGTTACTCCGAAGGGAACTGGGTCTCTATTGCACAGTAGTGGGTGAGTCCACTCTGATCCCACGTGGAAACAATTCCCTTTCCCTTCTCCTCTGGGGAAGCGGGTCGCAGAGAGACAGTATCTGCTGTAAGCCAAAGCACTTGGGTACAAGGCAGCGATGCTGCCGGGCTGTGCGGGCAGCGCCCAGCGCCCGCTTCTCTGTGCACGCGGCGGCCCCGTGGCAGGACGTCCTGAGTCAGACGGGGACGGCCACTTCTCACTCCACGGTTACTGACTTGGCCAGGTTTCGGGGGAAGTCAACCTGAAACAAAAGAAAGTGGCTGCTCAGGACCCCGCGACCTCGGCCCAGGTGACACCCTAACAGCTCCCTTCAGAGGCCTCGAGACCACGGAGGCTTCAGGTCACCTCCCGCTGTGGGCTACCTCGAGACTGCACCTCGGAGGCGGTTCTCGCTCTGACGCTTCTCACTGTACGTTTAATTCATTTAATAAGCATCCGTCCTGCACCTAACACCTGTCGGGTTGTGTTGACAGGATCAGAATAACGGGCTGGCCAGTGGCGTGGTGGTCGGGGCAGCTGGTCCCACAGGGCCGGCCATGTAGACCGAGTCCCACACCCGGCGGCTTGAGGACCACGCCAAGCACATGTGCATGAGTGTCCAAAATCCCGAGAGAATGGAGGAGAAGGGGTTGTGGCCATCCTCGGAGGGGTCCTTTCTCCCTTTCTCCCCCCCTCCAGTGAGAATGGAGGAGAAGGGGTTGTGGCCATCCTCGGAGGGGTCCTTTCTCCCTTTCTCCCCCCCTCCAGTGAGAATGGAGGAGAAGGGGTTGTGGCCATCCTCGGAGGGGTCCTTTCTCCCTTTCTCCCCCCCTCCAGTGAGAATGGAGGAGAAGGGGTTGTGGCCATCCTCGGAGGGGTCCTTTCTCCCTTTCTCCCCCCCTCCAGTGAGAATGGAGGAGAAGGGGTTGTGGCCATCCTCGGAGGGGTCCTTTCTCCCTTTCTCCCCCCCTCCAGTGAGAATGGAGGAGAAGGGGTTGTGGCCATCCTCGGAGGGGTCCTTTCTCCCTTTCTCCCCCCCTCCAGTGAGAATGGAGGAGAAGGGGTTGTGGCCATCCTCGGAGGGGTCCTTTCTCCCTTTCTCCCCCCCTCCAGTGAGAATGGAGGAGAAGGGGTTGTGGCCATCCTCGGAGGGGTCCTTTCTCCCTTTCTCCCCCCCTCCAGTGAGAATGGAGGAGAAGGGGTTGTGGCCATCCTCGGAGGGGTCCTTTCTCCCTTTCTCCCCCCCTCCAGTGAGCACATGCACTGCATAGCAAAGAGCTAGGTACATTTATAATCATACATGTACAGGATCCATGCTTCAAACAGCTAGCTCAGTTTGTACTGCTAAACATTCAGTTTTCTTGGGAGTGCACACGAATTCCACCAGATCTCTTAGTTTAAGCTGTGTGTTGGAAGGAGGCCTGACGGAAAGACTGACACCGCGGGCTTCCAGTTTATCTGCTCCGTCTCACTCTTTGTGTTTTACAAAGGTGAAACAAACATGACAAAAGCTTAGCAAGTAATTCTGGATGATACACACACGTTCGGGTTTTGGTTATTATGTACTTTTGAAAGCATCTTAAGAGGCCAGGTGGCGTGGTGGTTAGAGCACTAGACTCCCACATGGCTGACTGTGGTTCGAGTCCCAGACCTGGCAGCTTGCTTTTTCACTTTCTTTCTCTCTGTCTTTCTCTGGTCAACTTCAAAAATAAACAAATAAATAATGATGATGAATAAAATTAAATAATTCTTTTTTTAAAAACACATCTTAAGGGACCAGAAGTTAGTGTAATGGCTATGTCGCTGGACTCTCATGTAGTCGACCACGGTTTGAGTCCCGGACCCAGTGGCTTAAACTCACACTAGGCGCGTGTGCGTGCGTGCCCAAGATCCCGAGAGGAGAATGGAGGAGAAGGGATTGCGGTGTAGCCATCTCCCTGGGGGGGTGGTGATTTCTCACTTTCTGTCTCTCTGTCTCTCTCTGTTTCTCTGGCGAGCGCACATGATCTGTGGCAAAAACCTCTCCAAAAAGAAAGCATCTTAAAATAAAATAAAATGAAACTTCTACTTCTGGACTGGCCCCATAGCACAGCGGTTAAGTTCTGTGCATGGGAAGCTGGGTCGCACACGGCGGGCTGTGGTCCGCATACCAGCCCTGGCAGCTTGAGAGACATGCCAGGTGCAAGTGCCAGAGTGTCCAGGATTCCTGACGGTGAGAATGGAGAAGAGGCTGTGGGTGGTCGCCACATTGTGGGGTGCTTTCTCCCCTCTCCCTTTCTGTCTGGTGAGTGTATACACCCTGTTGCAATTAAAAAAAGAAGAAAATGTGAAATTTTGTCTTCAATCAAATATCGAAGTACTTTTTAGAAACCCATGCGTAGGAAAAGCAGTGGATTTGCTGGTGTGCGCTGCTCTGCAGGGCGGGTTGGGTTTGACAACGCCCGTCCCGCCTGTCCTGCAGTGCCTGGTTTGTTCTCAGTGGATGCAGGACACAGGCTACCGGGAAGACATGGTTACTTTCAATGGAATGGTTTCTTTACGACTGTTCACTCCACTGGAGCATCTAGGAACCGGAGGGGCTTGGGTGGTCTCCGCCTTCCCGCCCGCGATGGACGTACGTCGTATCCGCGCAGGACAGCCAGGTGGAAGGACAGCAGCTGCAGCGGGACCACGCTCAGGACGCCCTGCAGGCAGTCCACTGTGCGCGGCAGCTCGATCGCTCGGTACGCCAGCTTGGAGCTCTCAGTGTCATCCTTGGAGCACAGGATGATGGGGCGCCCCTGCGGTGGAGAACTGTGGTCACCGAGGGCACCCCTCACTCACGGCGGAGTTCCGAGGATCGCCATCACAGCAGTGACAGGGATCTTGTTTCTGCTGGAACTGCGTGCAGTGACGCGCCCATGAAGGGGCGAGGCAAGGCTGTGGTGCCTCTTCCCCGCCTGCAGTAGGCAGTGCGCCCGGCTCGGAACTCAGCAGAGGGCTCCAAGGCACCTTGCAAAGGGCGGGGCAGACCCTCCTAACTAACGGCCACAGCTCAGACGGGGCACGGGCGCCTAGACAAGCAACCACTGAGGCTGGTCGCGAGACAGGCAGGCGGACCCCGGCGAGGCCCAGGGGAGCTCCTCCCACAGGGAGACATGTGGACAAGCCCGATGGGGGGCCAGTCCCCTGAGATTTGAGGGAGGAACATTCTGACCGGTGCACAGGCTCAGGGGCAGGGACCAGCTAGGGCGAGGAACAGAGAAGGTGGAGGAGACCGGAGGAGGCCTGGGGGCCACCGAAGTGTGGTGGGAAGTCTGGGGTTTTACGTGGGATTTCATGCCAGCCTTTGACCCTGAGCAGACCCAGGCACGGCAGTGGCTGGCTGGAGAACCTGGTGTGTTTCTCATCTCCCTGGAACTCCAGACCTCCGGGGCTGGAGGGCGGCCTGAGACCGAGTTCATTCACACGGCCAGCGATTCGGTCAGTCACGCCTATGTGGAGAGCGAAAGCCCTGGGCACCGACGCTGGCAGCCTAGGGGAGCTCCCCGGTGACACACGGACGCAGCAGCGGGAGCTGCCCGGTGACACACAGACACACGGGGGGGAGGGGGAGCAGCACGTCCTGAAGATACGGAAGCTTCACGTTTGCAACCCCCACACTGTGAGTTCCTTTTAGGCTGGTTGTGATTTGTATTTTCACAAGCGTTATGGGTACAGTGCCAGGACCAGCAGATGGCATAATGGTTACATCACTGGACTCCCACGTAGTCAACTGTGGCTCAAGTCCCGGACCCGGGCAGCCCGAGGCAGCCTGGGTCACAGGCCTCCCTGAGGCTCTGGTGGCATGGCTGCAAGCTGACCGGGTCCTTCCCAAATGTGTGTACTCGTGGGGAGCCGGGGGCCACACCACTCACCACAGGTCAACCCACAGCCGCTGCCGGCCACGGCAAGTGGGCAGGCTGTGTGGAAGACAGTGGGAGAGGGGCCCAGCCCAGCGAGGCCCTCACCTGGCGGGCTGTGACCTGCTGCAGGGCGTTCTGGCATTTGGTGAAGCAAGGGTCCTTCATGATGACCATGATGACAGGCATCTGCTTGTCGACCAGCGCCAGGGGCCCGTGCTTCAGCTCCCCGGCCAGGATGCCCTCTGAGTGCATGTAGGTGATCTCCTTGATTTTCTGGGGAGACAGGGGTGGGGTCACGGCCACACTGGCTCGGGTTCTGCAGCCTGGAGGGGCCGACAAATGCCGCGAGGCGGGTGGTCGCTGGGGCAGGGAGAAGCCGGCTACTGTCTGGGGCTCACAGGGGCCTGCCTGCAGCCCCGTCCTCATGTCGGCCCCGGCACTGTGGCTCTGTCTCTCTTCAGTGTCACACAAAGCCTCTCCGTGTGGACAGAGGGTGGCGTCACCCTGCGTACCCTCCTCCCCGTGTGGCCAGCCACGTAGCCCCCACTGCGTGCTGCTTCAACACGCCTGCAGTGTGCAGTCTGCCCCACCCTCCCACAACTGCGACCCCCGTATTCCCAGGTGCCCCGTCACTTTCCACAGTCTTGCTGAGCATGCAAAAGCCTCTCGGCTGCCCTCGTGCGCTTTGTCTGGGCCGGGAAGCGCTGAGGAGTGTGCCGCACCTCAAGCACAGACAGCCCGGGCGCCAGCCCCTCATGACCACAGGCGGCTGTGGGCCGTGCCGGCCAGGCCTGGACGCTGCTCCCTGTGCTCAGAGCCGAGGTCCCGGGCATATACGAATGTGCACTTTCTGCAGAGCACCACACAGCTGAGCCCGCCCGGTGGGAAGGCTGCCGGGCTAGGGCTGGAGCTCAGGATGGGCTCCGAAGCCCAGCCCTCCTCCCCGTTGTGCTCTCTGGGCTGCCTCGGGTGCCCGCCCTCCTGGTGCCGGGCCGGGGCTCACCAGGGCTCCTTCCAGGCAGGTGGCGTAGTGGTAGCCCCGCCCCATCACCAGCAGCGACCTCTGTGTGTACAGCTCCAGGGCCAGGCCGTGGATCTTCGTGTCCAGGGACAGCACTTCCTTGATCAGCTCTAGGCCACGCACAAACACAGTGAGTTCGGAGCTCCCGGGCACAGCGAGGGGACTGCAGCCGCGACGTGCTATGTGTTCCCAAGCGACAGAGACTTCAAAGGTCTCGTGACAACGAAGGGACAGGATGGAGGTGAGTAACCCGCGTTGTACACACACCGAATCACTGTGTTGTGTCCCTGAGATGTACTCAGTCACACGTGAATCGCTGTGTCAAAGGAGGGGGTGGCTGACAGCACCTCCAGATCACGGGGTGGGTGGCGGGGATGCTGGCTGTGGGAACGGCAGTCGGGTGCCGGGTTCTGGGTTCTAAGCTCTGGTACATACCGGGGAGCTCTTTCAGGCCGCGGATGATCTCCTGCCTCCTGGTCTGCAGGGAGACCCGGTCTTCGGACATCATCAGGCCGAACAGCACCAGCGAGACGAACTGACTGGTGTAGGCCTGCAGGCAGGGCATGGCAGCCATGAGGCCCGCACCCAGGGCTGCACGGAGAGCCAGAGCACAGCAGGGACAGACAGGAAAGCCACGGAGGACAGAGCAGGCTGCTGAGGGAGGGGCGGCGGCCTCGGCCGAGGCCCCATGTGGCCGTGTGGCTCCTGCCTGCCCAGGCTTTCCTGGCAGTGCCGTTCCTACCTTGGTGCTGGCCACGCCGATCTCGGGCCCTGCGTTGATGTGGACGCCACAGTCGGTCTCCCGGGAGATGGAGCTGCCCACGGTGTTGGTGACGCCCACGGTCAGGGCACCACGGTCCTTACAGTAGCGGAGTGCCAGGAGGGTGTCTGCCGTCTCGCCTGCCACACCGGGCAC